TCTGCATATGTTTTGCTGCAAAACTCAAATAAAAGAAGGGAAAAGTGAGATATTTTGTGAGTAGCTCATGTTATTTGTCATGATAATGCAGGTTTCCCTGGATGTTTAGACTAAAAGACCCACCCTCTTTTTGCTGTTTTTATTTCTCCTATTCTTGTGCATGTGTGTAAATTCTGAACAACCTTTTGCACAATTAAACTGTTTCATGGAATTTTCCCTCCATCACAAATATATCAACGTTACCTTCAGAGCATATGAGGACAATATCTGCCAATTTACATCAAATTCTAATTAGATTGGAATACCTTCACAATATTTGAATGCATTAATAATTATAATGGGATTTTATTTCCAATGTAAGCATATAACTTTGTTTTGCATTTCATCTTTGAAAGAATGACTTTTTTTTTTTTTTTTTTGAAGACACATACGCAAGCTGAGAGAAAAATTATGGAGGAAAGAAAGGAAGCACTCTTAAAGGAAGCTTCTGAAAACTGTTTGACAGGTTCAGAATTGCAAGTTAAATTGGCTGAACTTGATTCAATAAAACCTCATCCCTATGGAACTTGGCAAGCGGTTGGTAAATTCAACTTCTTTTGTCCGGAATATATTTTTCAATAACAAATGACATGTGATTTTTGGTTAGTATTCAGTCAATATCCTTTGCTTTTTGATGCTCGAGTATTTATGTTACGCCCCAAACTGTATAGGTTAAAGGTGTTATTTCTTCTAAGAAATATGTAAACGTTAAAGGTTTATGCGTAATTATCAAGTATGTGAAATTGAAGTTCTCAAACATACAACTTAATAAAAGAGTGGGAAAAAATGCCATAAACTTCAAACAAAAGTCAATAACTTAGCTTAGTCTGGTCAAGCCCTCCTGATTGAGTACACAACAATGCTTTTAGGGCTAACCAACCAAATAACAACCTATGGGTACATATTGACCAAGGATGTTGCCTCCCTAATCCACTTTAGCAGTGATTCTCGTTTACATTACATAGAAACTCATTAAACTAATAATGAACATAAAAGTTAGTAAGCAATTAGAGTATGCTTCAAATTGTTTTTATGTTTCTAATTCTTAGTTATGTCCTTAAGTATTTTTACAAGCTGGGCATGATTATCATTGTATGTTTCTACACATGGTAGCTAAAATAAAATCAAGGCCTAAGAATGTAATTATAAAATCCTAGTCATTCTTATGACCAAGCACTGCCTAAGAAGCTAAGTCTAGGTGTTGCAATGTTCATATTTCACCAATTGTTACAAAAATTGCCAAAGTTCTTTAAGAAATGATTGTTATCAAGCATTAACTTTCAAAAATACATGCCATCATGTTACATTATGTTTTCAGTGGTGCTATACATTTGTTTGCGTACTATTTGTTCCAATGTGCATGACATTGAACGTGCATTATGCTATATTTTGAATGAAATGGAACTAGAGCTTTGACATCGAAACATGCCGTATTCCTTCATAAGTAGTGGGTTTTCGGTGCCACATAATACTTCTGTGAAACATGGGTGAGGGGATGGAGCCTGGTGAGAAACTCTTCTGCTGCGTTATGCTTGACATGGCCGTAACTCGAGGCAATGGTGACAGTTGACATTGATAATGTGTACTAGAAAACAAAATGGTTAACCTAATTGTTTTTCTCTTGTTTTTCTTGTTGCTTCCTGTGTATGCATATGTTTTGGTTAGGTACACGAGGTTTATTCTGAAGCCAAGATTACCGGATTTTGGAAAGGGATTGTCCCAACACTTATAATGGTTAGGTTTTCAATAGTTGAATAAATTCTAGCTGCACAAAGAGTCACTTTCAAACTAATGAGTGATTCGGTTGGTAGGTTTGCAACCCAGCAATACAGTTCATGATTTATGAAAGCTCCTTGAAGCATCTTAGGGCAAAACGTGCTGACAGAAAGCAGGGATCAAAAAATATAACTGCTTTGGAGGTATAAGATCTACTTGGACTGAGTTTTGAAAGCATGGCTTTTCATTTTCTCTAAAAGGTGCTAATAACCTAGCATTGCTAGTCCATATGAAGGGTGCCATTCTTAGGAATATCCAGAATATTGGCCTTACACTATCTTCTCTCTCTCTCTCTACATTATTTTTTGGACAGGTCTTCTTGTTAGGGGCCTTGGCAAAACTAGGCGCAACTATCTCAACCTACCCGTTGTTAGTTGTCAAGGTGAAGTATACTCTGTGCACTTTATAATCCTAAAGACGTTGTGGGAAAAATTAGTTCAACAGTACTGCTAAATCCCACTTCATGTCAGTGAAGTTCATATGGTTATTCATTCGCATTGTGACAAGTCCATGAACACTGTTTCTACTTCTTTATCTCACTCAATAAATGTGCATTAATCTGCGTTTGACCATATGTGAGATTTATCCATCCTAGTCTGCTTTAAATGTCCAATAATCTGTGTCACCTTGAGCCTATGCAGTCAAGGCTGCAAGCAAAGCAGGAGATTGGCAGAAATATTTCACTAAGATACTCAGGTTCGCATTTTATTGATATATCAGACATATCAATCTTTGTTTTGAATTGATTCATTATTTTGAAGATTATGATTATATCTTTCTCATGTCACTTTTCCTTTCTGTGATGAATTTCTGATCTGCATATCCAGCATATATGAGATAAAAGTATGATCATCCTATTGAATGGATAACTGAACGGATGAGAGTTTCACTTGTGTTTTCTCTATTTTGCATGTCAAATATCAATCAATTTTTCAGTACAGAACTATATATGGGTTCTTGGTACCGCAGGTACTGTTGATGCTATAAGGAAGATGATCCAGTATGAAGGATTGCCTGGGTTTTACAAAGGGATGAGCACAAAGATAGCACAGAGTGTTTTTGCAGCTTCTGTACTTTTTATGGTTAAAGAGGAACTCCTCAAGATTTATACGTTGCTGGCAGATAAGTGCAATAAAGTTCTGCTTAGTTCAGCAAAATAAATACTTCAGTGCGAGATGAAATTGTGTCCTTGATCGAAATGTGCATTATTTATAAACCGATGTGCAATATTTACTTTTCAACACACACACACACACGTGTATGCACATTTTATGCATGCATCTTTGTGAATCTATTTTCTGAGAGAGACAAAATATGCTTAGAGTATTAGACTTGTTTCTTACCATTTCCTTTCTAATCTTGTACTTAATTATCGTAATGTTCATCAACCTACGGGGAGATATGGATCTAGAGCCTTATTTATTGTAATGTTCATAAACCTATGGGGGATATGCAGCTTCAGTATTCAAATTATGCATTTCTACAATTTCATTATTCAAGTTTTTATGAAACTTCAATATGTTTTCGTTGTGATTTTCTTACAACTTTATTATGTGTCTATTTAAGTATTTATGCAACTTCATTATTCAGGCTTTAAGAGGTTAATAACAAAGTGTTTATATAGAATTGTATAAACACTATTTTATATTTAGAAATTAATAACAATTATATTTTATTTGGTATGTTATTAATCTTATGTAGCTTCAGAAACAAAATATATGTCAAAATATTTAAAAGAATGGTTAATTACATAAAACCCTCCAAACCATGGGGTCATTTTGAAGTTAATACACATTTCGTAAGACATTTACAACTCCATACTCAAACTCCCAAAAACCCTACAAATTATCCATGTTAGTCAATTTGTTAGTATATGTGTTAAAAGATTATGTGGCAATATAGGCCCCATTTTTTACAGACGTGGACTCCAAATGGACAACACAATTAATAAACAATTCTTGTTATAAACATAAGGAATGTGGATGAACATCATAACATCCATAACACCCGCTATAAGAATAGCTTGCGTATGCACTAATTGTTATGAGCTTGTAATTTATGAGTTGTAAATGTATTTATATAATTGTAAGCTTATAAATAAGAGGTCTTACCAATATGAAACAAACAAGTTTTGATAGAGCAAAATTCTATTGCCATTCTTTTCTTTTCTCTCTATAATTTCCCTCTAATTTTATAACAATTCTTTATTTTTTCAAATTAAAAAAATTATTATAATTAAATCAATTCAAAACAAAAAAATCTCTTGCTGTCTCTCCTCCCATGCCCCCTCAACCCGAGGTACTGAGCAAACAACTACGATGGATGCCCAAATCCTACCGACACTGTCACTTCCATTCAACAATTTCTCAGACCACCTCGGCCCTCCACGTCTCCCTCCCTCACAACTACCCTGACTGCACAAAACAACCAACCCACCCAAACCACTACATGAGTTGCCCAAACTACCACACTTTGGTCCCCCCACAGCGCACCCATGGATCTTGGGAATTGGAGGAGTGGCGTCGTCTTGACTGGAAGTGAAAATGAAATTGTTATTAGCAACCCCACCCAAGTATTCTAATCGGAAAACTGGAAAACTGAGCCGAATTGAGCCTAAGAAAAAGGGCAAAAATCAAGTTGACCAAAAATTAGAGGTGTCGAACGGGACGGATCGGCCCAGCACGGCACAAGCCCAGTCCGTTTAAATGAGGCACGGTACGGCACGAGCACGAATATTAATGGGCCGTGCTCGGCACGGCACGAATACTTGGGCCGGGCCGGGATCAAAAAATAGGTCCAATGGACCGGGCCGGCCCATAGCCCGACATGGGCCGGGCTTGGCCCGAGCCCGCTTCAAGCACGGCACGAGCCCAAGCACGAGCCCAAGCACGGCCCAAGCACGGTCCATTTAGCATTTTTTTTTGGATTAACTACACTTTAGTATTCGAAGGTTTAGTGTCAGTATCGAAATGGGCTCCGAAGTATCAATTTCATTAATTTACACCCTAATGTTTTCAAACTTGTCTAATTTTATCCTTCCGTTAAGTTGACCGTGTGGTCAACTGTTAAATGGTGCATGTGGGGGCCACTTTTTTGTTTAATTGAAATATAATATTATTTAAAAACTATAATTAAATTTAAATAATTAATTATTAAATATTAAAAAACCGAAAAAATCCAGCAACACTCAATCGCTCAGATCTGGAAAAATCTCAACACCTCGCAGCCGCACCTCGCTGTCCCATCTTCTTCTCCTCTCTGTCAGTGTCTCGCCGAACACCGAACCAAACCACACTGAGAAATCGACGCTCCGATCACATCGGTTTCAAGAGCTTCAGTCCAATGTGCGCTCTCAGAAATTGACAAATCGTGGCCTTGGGTTCAATGCTCGGTTGAGGCTCAACGCGGAACCAAACCAGAGCAAGTCCAGGCCTAGTTCAAATGCAGGTCCTTCCTGGGTTTCAGAACACTGCCTCACGAATTTATTGTAATAAATCTCTTTGTGTGACTGAGATTGCACTAGACACATTCATTTTAGTACTTTTTGGTAATTAATTGCATGCAGATGCAGTCCTCAAATTCGGTGGTCGTCGTCGAGGAGAGTGAGGAGTGTGGTGGCCGCTGGCTAGAGCTAGCTAGCCCTCCCGATCTGTTTCAATGGCCTCTTCAGACTCAGTGTAAGAGAGAAGGGTGGATTTGGGCAGTGGCCATGGCGAATCTAGGCATGGTGGAGGAGCTGGGCAGTGTCGTGGGGAGGGGGGAGGAGCTGGGCAGTGCCGCGGGGAGGGGGGAGGAGCTGGGCAGTGAGCTTGGAGAAGGGGAGAGAGAGAGAGAGAGAGAGAGAGAGAAGGCCAGATTCAGATGAATTTGATTACCCTTGTTACCAGAATTTGATTACCTTGAACTTGAAGCTGGAGCAAAATTCCTCAATGTTTGAGCGATTGAGTTTTCCCATAGAGGGAGAAAGCGAGAGAGCGATCGTTTTTTTGTTGTTGGATTTTTTCAGTTTTTTAATATTTAATAATTATTTATTTAAATTTAATTATAGTTTTTAAATAATATTCTACTTTAATTAAACAAAAAAGCGGCCCCCACATGCACCATGTCAGCATTTAACGGTTGATCACACGGTCAAATTTAACGGAAGTATAAAATTGGACAAGTTTGAAAACATTGGGGTGTAAATTGATGAAATTGATACTTTGGAGCCCATTTCGATACTGACACTAAACCTCCGAGTACTAAAATGTAGTTAATCCTTTTTTTTTTCTTCTAAAAAAGTCAAAATGCAATAATTTGACATCTAATGTCATTGTTTATATGTGTTTTTTTTTTAATCATAAACATATATTTGATGTCTTTCATTTTAGGAAAATTACTTGGGTCCTTAATTAATTAAACATTTCAACTACAAATTAATTAAACAACATTGGACTTGATATCTAATCAATATATATGACATATACACTTATCTTATAATCAAAGCAAGACATTTCTTCACATATAAAATAATAAGTTGTTTAAAGATGAAAAGTTCAAGTAGACTTTGTGGAGTTGGACACTTTTTCCCCTCCGCCCCTTCATATTGTTTGGATATTTGATTGATTAATGTTTTCAAATAGTTCATCATTTCTTGCCTCTAATTATATTTTTCATGTTTATAATTTGAATTATCTAGTGGAAAAAAAAAATCAAGTGAAAAAAATTCAAATTAAATGGATTGGTTCTTGGGCCCGAGTATGGCACGAGCACGAGTACGGGCACGGGCACGGCACGAGCCCGGCCCGGCCCGTTTCAATATGGACATGGGCTTTGGGCCGGGCCGGGATCAATGATTTTATTAAATGGGCGGGAACGGCACGGCCCGATAAATTAAATGGGCCGGCCAAGCCCGGCACAAAAATATTAAAAGCACGAATTTAAATGGGACGGGCCGGCCCGGCACGGCCCGTTTGACACCTCTACCAAAAATCACCGAATTGGTTTGGTCCGGTTCTAGTTTTAGTTCTTGTAGTGAAAAAAGGAAACCGGGTGCATATTTTGTAATTTCTAAGCCCATAACTAATCTTTCTCCAAGTCCAACTCCAAATCATCTCTCTTTTCTAGGCCAAATAACCTCCCTTTGCATGAAATTGGGCTATTTATGAGTTTTTATGCCTCAAAATTAAAATTTTAGTTTGGTTTTGTAAAAAAAAAATTTCAAAAACTAAAAAAGAAGAAGAAAGATTCATGTTGAAAATTGGAAACCGAACCGGCTTATGGGCAAATCGGACCATATTGGACTGGATAATTTTTTTTCAAAATAGGATCAAACCAAATCGTGCCCACCTCTCTCTCTCTCTCTCTCTCTCTCTCTCCAGATACAAGCGATAATCTACTTTAAACTATTCTAAAGTACAAGTAGAGGGATTGGAACAACGGTCTCGAGTGGGGAGAACATCAATCCACTCTAGCCAACTTGGCTAAGCTTATGTCTACCCCCGCCCATCTCGTTTGTCTTGGTGCGGAGAGTGGTTATTCTGACTAGCGATGGTTGAAATTGGCGACAATGGTTTTTCTAGACTAGATGTCTAACCAAATGATCTAGATCTGCATGGGATGGAGGCTCTTAGATATGAAACTACGCCACCTCTCTCTCTCTCTCTCTCTCTCTCTCTCTCTCTCTCTCAGTTCTTTGAGGATTTGGGGATGGCGCTAGGATAGGATGACCTAAGAGTTTCCGGCGGGTGCTGTGGGGAAGATGTTGGCTGTGGGAAGAGGTGGCGCGAACTGGGCTATTATTTTATTATTATTATTATTTTTAATTTTATTGTTTTGTGTTATATTCCACATCAACAAAAAAATGGCCCCTATAAATGCCACATGGGAAATTAATGTATATACTAACAGTTTGTCCAACGATGGGGGTGATTTGTAGGGTTTCTAGGGGTTTGTGTAATAACCCAATCCTAAATTAATACTTAATTATTAATCAAGAAAAAGACAATTTTACCCCCGGGAATATTTTAATAGGTTAAAAAGTTGACTTTTGTTTGGGAAAGAATTTGGAGATTTGAGTACTACCGTTGCGTAGAGCACATCGAGATGAGTCTGTAGACACGTAGTGGGCTCAAATTGGAGTTGTAATGAAGAAGTTACGATAAAAAATAGTCTAGTGGCAAAATCGCAATTTTTCGAAAGGGGATTTAAAAAAAAACCTAATTTCTTCTCTCTCTCTCTCTCTCTCTCTCCCCTGTCATGAGCCCCCTCCCCTTCGAATTTTCTGCACAGCCGATGGCTCCAAGAGCTGCCACCGCCGCCACACGTCGCCATACTTGGCGGCACCGTTCCCAAAAGTACCGCCTCCTCTCCCTCTTCCAGTCCCACCCAATCTCTGCCGCCAACCACCTAATTCTACAAAAATACAGTCGAAATTTACCCATTTTTCCTTCTACTATTTCCGACGTTTTCAGCGACCAAATTTTGCTATTTAGGTATCCTTTCTCATCCTTTCAATGTATTCTAGTTGCTGGTTGTGGTATTTAGGAGAAATTTATGCTTTTTGGTAGTCAAATAAGCGATGGAAGTTTTGGCCGGTTTCGGCCCTTGATTCCAGCCACTTCCGTCGACTTTTTAGGGTAAGTCCAAGAACAAAAGTTGCTCCACTCTATGTGCTCTTTGTGTAGGTATAAGTCTTGACCGGCAGTTTGGAGGTTTTTCAATCGTCGGAAATTATTTTGGGCACCCACGCCCTGCCGATGCGTGGGCCACCTTTTGGTTGGTCTTAGAGTCCTAAATTGATCCTCATGTCGTTCCGAGCACGACGGTATGCTTGGATATGAATTTAGTTATTGTTTGATCGTCGATCGGATATCGCATATTAGGCGTTATCCGAATTTGATATGTTCGGACCATTGGATCGACTTCATTTCCAAATATGTTGATCTAGGCACTTCTAGGATCGTATAGGAATTAGCGGATCAAGAATCGGAGTCCCAGCTCCGATTCAATAATTCAAAGTTTAGGTAAACGATAAACATCCGATCATGAGCAATCTGGCCGTTTGATTCAGACCAAACTTACAGAACAGGTATAGTAAACCTTGTTGAACCCTTAGGAACTCTCGGATCGGAAATGGGAGGTCGTGGTCCCTGCAGGCCTGGTTGACCCAATTTAGAAAGTTTGACCCTTGGTTGACTGTGAGACTTCCAAGATAGTTTCACCTTTGAGAAGTGCTAGACGATCGTATAAACGAGGCTTGACTGTTGTGAATTATTTTGATTATGGTTGGATTTTGAGATTATATGATAGTATTTTATGGTATTCCTGGATGTCGTTCCTAATATTCGAAGATTTTTGCATCATTGGAAGTATGGGATCTCTAGGGGTTATTTACTTTTTATTTATTTATTTATTTATTTATTATTATGATTATTAAAGTATCTGACTGATTGTTATTGAATGATTTAATATTTATGAATCACTATGTAATCGGATTTCGACGTGAATAAATTAATTAAACATCTAAGAACATATATATATATATATATATATATATGTATTTATTTATTATTATGATTATTAAAGTATCTGACTGATTGTTATTGAATGATTTAATATTTATGAATCACTATGTAATCGGATTTCGACGTGAATAAATTAATTAAACATCTAAGAACATATATATATATATATATATATATATGTATTTATTTATTATTATGATTATTAAAGTATCTGACTGATTGTTATTGAATGATTTAATATTTATGAATCACTATGTAATCGGATTTCGACGTGAATAAATTAATTAAACATCTAAGAACATATATATATATATATATATATATATGTATTTATTTATTATTATGATTATTAAAGTATCTGACTGATTGTTATTGAATGATTTAATATTTATGAATCACTATGTAATCGGATTTCGACGTGAATAAATTAATTAAACATCTAAGAACATATATATATATATATATATATATATGTATTTATTTATTATTATGATTATTAAAGTATCTGACTGAGTGTTATTGAATGATTTAATATTTATGAATCACTATGTAATCGGATTTGGACGTGAATAAATTAATTAAACATCTAAGAACATATATATATACTTTGTGGTTTGAAAGTGACGAATTATGGACACTAGTTCTTAACAGTATGTGGTGTAAATTCGAAGGTAGTTGAGAAACGAATTTTGGAAAGTTGAGAAAAGAATTGATATATGGATTTGTGGAGTATGGGAAATTTTATGATAAGTTTCGTAATTTAGTTTTCAAACCCACCGCGGGAGTACCCCACCCCCCCCAATTGTCTTTGAGACAGTTCTGTCATCTACAACAATGCCCCACGAGTTTCGGGGACGTCTGAACTGTGTGGTGCGAGGAATGTGGCTCAGGTTGACTTTGTGTCTCTGAGGCCTGTGAGGAATGCTGCTCGGGTTGACTTTGTGTTTTCGAGGCCTGCGAGGATGTGTCACATTATGTGACACAAGGAATTGACGATCCATTATTGGAATTGACGGAAAATTGGTGGTATTGACGGATCACGAATGGGGGTACGCCTAGGTGAAGAGTATCTAAGTTTTTAGATGTTTTAAACTATAATTGAGGATATTACATTGGTATTTATGGGCAAAGGTTTTAATATATGATTTCTTGCTTAAGAGACAAGGATTAAGAGTCTTCTAAGTTTTAAGGATTTTGTATAATTAACGATTATTTTCTTAAGTGAAGTTTTTTTGTACTATGTCGTTACTTGACTTTATATCCCCGTTCTTTTCCTCTTTATATTTCTTTCCAATTAGAAAGTTATTTTCCTATCATTATTTTCTTTTCCTTTTCAATTTCTTTTCACATTTGATTTTGCAAAACAG